CTAACACTTTAGATGATAAAGAAGCCATTATCCTTGGTTTGGTGTGTTTAACCCAAGTTAAATTTATGACAGACCGAAAATTAGCTGTCATGTTGTGCATCTCACTTCCTGTTCTGTGCGACTTGATACGTGTGTGAGCTGCATGTCCAGCAGGATTTATAAGAATTTGTTATTGATGGATGGGAAAGGTGTTTCAAAACCCTGCAAAAGTGTACAAGATAGCATGTGCAGGGTATACCTAACCTTGCAGTTTTGGTTTATTTTTTTATTTTTATTTTTATTTTTGTTTTTATATTTTATTTTATTTATTTATTTATTTATTTTTGCAGTTTTGGTTTATAAGAGATTTAACCTGTGGCTATAAACAGCATAGGATGAAATCTTTTAGAAATTTTTCAGGGAGAAAATTCAGGATTTACTTCTTTAATTTCCAGTTTTTTATTCAGTTGACCAATTTAGGAAGGAGATCTTTTTTTTTATAATTTTTATTTATTTATGATAGTCACACAGAGAGAAAGAGAGAGAGGCAGAGACATAGGCAGAGGGAGAAGCAGGCTCCATGCACCGGGATCCTGGGCCAAAGGCAGGCGCCAAATCGCTGCGCCACCCAGGGATCCCTAGGAAGGAGATCTTATTTATGATTTATTTCAAAGCAGATGAGAGATTATTAAACTACCTTAGTTTCTGAGATATCATGGATCAAAGACTTCATTGGATGTCTGCCTTGCCCACCTCTCTCACTTCATTCTCAATACTTCATATTTACTTCCAGGAAGTACCTTGTTTACCACATTTATAGCTGTGTTGCATTTAGGGCTCTGGCCTCCCCCCCACCCCCCAGTCTTATTAAAGGATTTCACAGCATAATGTTGATTGATTAAAGATCTCTTGAGCAGTGAATTCAAGATGGCTCTGCAGAAGAAAAGGAAATAGCACATACAGGATTTCTCATTTAAATGCAGCCCAGGATAAGTCATTAGCATGTGCTAATCTCTGACCAAAGAGATAGACTTTCTTAGTGGGCTTATGTCCATGTCTTTCATCACCAGTACTGGCCACTTATGGGAAGTCATGTGAAAAACTAGGCACAGAATGGAACTTGCGTGGGCATCTTCGTGTACAGATAATTCTAATAAATTATGGCTCCATCTCCCAAAGAGACTTTTATATTTGGCACGTTTTCTGTCAATACCTAAGAAACTAAACAGACAAGTCTTTTAAATAGCCTTAAAATGATTCTTGTTAAAATATATTAAGTCTGGATATTCTGATGTGAAAGAACTTGAAAGAAACTGATCTGTTTTCTGAGTCCTCATAATAATATATGTATTGGTCATAAAACACTGCAGTGCCCTTTATTTCTACCTTCTAGATACAGAGTTTTCCAGCTAAGGTCACACTTCAAAATGACTTGTGGAATCATGCTTACATCCACTACCATAAGTTCGGGTTTAGTAGTTTTGAAGTGAAGTCACTGCATCTGTTTTTTAAAGTTTTAGAGGTATTTTCAAGAGACACATTTCCAGTTGACTACTACTACCAGCTTACATTCTAATTTGACCCACACATATTCTGTATAAGATGGAGGCATACTTCATTCATAGGGGTTCTATGGCTTTACAAAGAGGAACCTAGAAGATAGCTAGAAGGAAATCCTAGCTATTGTCAGGATTTTGGTTTTAAAAGGAAACCAGGGCAGCCCCGGTGGCTCAGTGGTTTAGCGCCGCCTACAGCCTAGCACGTGATCCTGGAGACCCAGGAACGAGTCCGACTTAGGGCTCCCTGCATGGAGCCTGCTTCTCCCTCTGCCTGTGTCTCTGCCTCTCTCTCTCTCTCTCTGTGTCTCTCATGAATAAATAAATAAAATCTTAAAAAAAAATAAAAGGAAACCAGTCTAAACCCCTCCTTTTTATACATGAAAAGCAGAGAGACATGAAAGAATTTTCAGGGTTGGTAGCAGAACCAAATACTAGATCAAAGACTGACTTGAGCCCTTCCTACAATAGTATCTTAAACCTAGTCCATCTTTGAGAAAAGCTGCAAGCTACTCAGGAATCTAGAAGTTGTCCTGAGCATCTGAAGCCTGTCAGAGTATTGTGAAGTGTCAGGGTACTTAATACAAGGAGCAGAAATGCAACCAGCAGGAACACCTCACATCTTTGAAGGTACTAGGGCGGAGTTATGAGTGATAGAACTCATAGTTAGAAATTATAGACATTACCCCAAATGCTTTTGTGACTTTTTAGTAAACATGGAAATTTCTGACAAGAGATGCCTATATTTGTCAGAAACAAGACAAAGATTGTCAAGAACAAATGATCATTTGTCTCATTTAAACTGATCCTTAAGTATTGTCAGCAAGTCTAGGAAGTTATGTCAGTATTATATTTCTAAGCAGGCCTGACTTCTAGCTTGTACTTCAGAAGGAGGATATTGGGCCCAGATTAGCAATTTAACCAATTAAAAGAATAATATGTTTATTAATTAGGATTAGATTTGGCTATGAAAAAAGATCCAAATAACAGTTCAGTCAAGGTAGAAATTGATTTTTTTTTTTAGATTAAAAAGTCCAGTGGGAAGGGAAGTTCAACACTACTGATTACTTCACCATCAACAGGGACTCACTTTTTTCTTTTTTGTTCCATTCATTCTTGGCACTATCTGATATCCTCAAAGTGTCTGGTGGTTCTAAATGGCTGCTGGAGCTTGAGCCATCATCAAAGGAGAGCATACCTCCAAATTGTGTCAGCTACCATGAAAGAGCTTTTCTAGAACCACTTATCCAGCAATTTTTGCTTCTACCTCACTGGTCATTCCTGTTATCAAGGGAGGCTGGAAAGTTATAACTGGGAAGGTTGCTATTCCAGTGATTAGAAGTTTTCTTACTAAGTAAGGAGAGGAGGAGAGAATGGACACTGGGCAGGCAACTAACAGATCTGCCACAAAGTTGTTTTGAAGAATGTAATATTTAGGAAAATCAAATTTTAGTGACATCAAAAACTATTATTTAGGATATAAATTTGAAAGGTCCCCAAACTAGCATCTCCCAAATGTCTGATTAATAAAAGTAGTGACTCTCTACGATGGTGTTCTGCTTTGGTTTTTTAGCAGGACTCATTGGGAACAGGTGTTAGGTTTTGTGTACTTTAAACAAACTGAAAAATGAATTCAGAACAACAGGGGAGAAAAAGACACTTCAAATTGAATCTTGTTTCCTTTTAGAGATAGGGAGAATCGAAACAACCACAAGGACAATTCAGTGGATATTTATGTAGCTGGCAGGAGCAGAGTATACTACATTCGATAGTATGAGCTAGGGTTGAACATATCAAAACACTGAAGTTGCTTCATACCTAGATGGAACAAGAGAGATGCCAGCAGCACAAGAGAGAGGCATGAAATACATGGCATAGCAACGACGTGCACCAACTCCAGATAGACCAGATTTCTCCTGGGGATAAGGATGGGGATGCTGGGCTAGAGGTTTAAGTCTCAGATATTGTCTAAGTCTCTTTGGGCTGCTGTAACAAAATATCATAGACTGGGTGGCTCTATAAAGTCAGAAATGTCTTTCTCACAGTCCAAGATCAGGTGTTGATCACAGTCAGGTTCTGGCAGAGACCCTCTTCTGCCTTTTTGCTGTGTCCTCACGTGGTGGAAGGGGCTAGGGAGCACTCTAGGGTTTCTTTTATAAGGGCACAAATCTTAGTCCCGAGGGTTCTTAGAACCCTCATGATCTAATTACTCCCCAAAGGCCTACCTCTTTTTTTTTTTTAAGATTTTATGTATTTATTCATGAGAGAGGCAGAGACATAGGCTCCCCGCGGGGAGCCTGCTGCGGGACTCCATTCCAGGACCCTGGGATCCCAACCTGAGCAAAAGGCAGACAATCAACCACTAAGCCACTCAGTCACCCCTAGGCCTCACTTCTTAAAACCATCACATTGGGCATTAGGTTTTCAACATAGGAATTTGGGGAGGGAGAGGCAGAGACCCAAGCCTTCAGATTATAGCAGAGAGAATCACCTCTGCTTATATCCTGCTGTACATATTAAGAGAGAGATGGAGAGAATGTTGTCTAAAAAACTTGTAGGCAGAAGCAACTGCACACCACGGTATACATAAATGTGTAAGATGGAAGTGCTTCTGCTCGAGAACAGATTTTTAAAATGTTCTGTAGTCTTGTTCGTATCTACTGTTCACATGGTGCCATTTAACACATATTTGCTGAATGCTTCATATTTACAATACACTTTAAAAAGGAAATTCATTCGCAAGTTGCCACTTAGGTGAGAAAGTCTAGATTTTGGCACTTCAGAGCTATGAATTTCAAATCTGGGGAAAGCCCAGCCTTGTCTCCCCCACCACACACACCCCTTCCTTTCAGAATTACTTACCAGTAACCAAACCCTGTGTGTTGACTTTGCCCCAGCTGATAGAAAACAGGAAAGTACAGAGACTGCCTGTGAGAAGAGGGTCAGGCTGCACCCTCTGTGACCTCAACCCTCAGTCCAAGTTCTCCTTGGGGCGCCAGCTGCAAACAGCTACGTGTGCCGTTGGCAGTAAGCATAGGGAGCACAGAGGAAACCACAGCTAATGCCACAGGGCCGGTTGGGCTGGCCTTTGAGCACAGTGAGCTGTCTTTTGAACCTTTTATAACTGTGCACTTTCAGGCCTCCTTGGGGGAGAATAGTTTATGCTCTGATCCAGTAATGGATCAGGAACCATTCTCTGTCTTATACAGCAGTGGAAATACCTTTGTTACTCTGGTATAAAATAGCTGCTTATTTGAGGCCATTGTGCAGCGGCTCGCCTTTCCTGCCCATTATTAGTTCCCTTTGAAGCTGCTGTGCTCAGTTCTGGTTCTCCAGGAGGACTGTGAAAGAAAATGGACATCTCACAAATTGCACTTTCTGTCTGTCTACTCAGTGCTGATGGAGCGACCTCATATTTTGGGTTTTGTGTCCCCACTCTGTACCCCATCTCTTCCCTGCTTGCAGGTGAAGGTCTGCCACAGGTGTATTACTTTGGACCATGTGGGAAATACAATGCCATGGTGCTGGAGCTCCTCGGCCCGAGCCTGGAGGATTTGTTTGACCTCTGTGACCGAACTTTTACTTTGAAGACGGTGTTGATGATAGCCATCCAATTGGTAAGTGGGGTGCTCACTTCAGCAGCACATATACTAAAATTGAAACGGTACAGAGACTAGCATGGCCCCTGCACAAGGATAACGTGCAGTTGGTAAGTGGGCATTGCTATTCTGCAGAAAGACAGATGGGTTCCCCAGCTACATCCTTGTGCCCCTTTTAGTGCTTTCTCAGTTGTAGTGACACCTGGTGAATGCATGCTCAGAGGATTGATGACATTCTCGAAAGGAGGCCGGGCAAAAGGGGTTAACCTAGAGAAGTCACGGTGTATCTTTTGTGTGCTCTATTTTAAGAATTTGCACCTTGGAGCAACACCCTGCCCTTAACTGAAGTGGAAGCATATAATTTAGATTGAGAAGAAAGAGGATGATTAGGTGAAATTGTACAAATGCAAGTAATTTCCTTGATGTTTTATTTATAGGTTTTAAACACATGGCTGTAAGGTACTGTACTCTCCCCTCACCCTTGCATCCAAGAAAGGATTGGTGATGTAACCCACTGCCCTAACAATCAGATTCCCAAGCTGTATGACCAAGAGCATGTGTTAGTTCTCTGGCCTCCATTTCTCACAGAGACTGGTAGAGCTGAAGAGACAGCTCTCTTAACTCCAACCAGATTACACACCAGTGCCAGTTCAAAAGCAGTTAAGGCAGTTCCTTTGAGTATTTTGTCAGCCCCTTAGAGGAAGATGCAAATGCATCTTTATTGGTCTGAAATGATGATGGTCTCACGCACTTTACAGTGAAAGATTGGAAATGTTAGAAAGTTGACCTTGACCTTGACTTTTGAGTCCCAAATTCAGATGCCTGAGCTTCCCTTTCTGTGCTAAGTAGAAAAGTATCATAGATGGAAATAAAACCTAATGAAATGTGAAATAACTTTTTAAAAGATTTATTTATTTTAGAGCGCACATGTGCATGTGAGCGGGAGGAGGGACAGAAGGAGAGGGAGATAGAGAATCCCCGAGCAGACTCCCCACTGCACAGAGCCCAACGTGGGGCTCAATCCCAGGACCCTGAGATCATGACCTGAGCAGAAATCAAGAGTTGGCCACTTACCAGTTGGCCACCCGGATGCCCCTGAAACAATTTTATGATTATCATTTGGGGCTCGGTTTATTTTCACATAAAAACTACACTTCTACCTCTGCTGCTAATTAGCTTTATGAAATCGGTCCAGTACTAACTTCTCTGGACCTCACTTCCCATATTTTTGCAAAAGAGAGAACTAGGCTGGGGAGTCCTGTCTGACTGAGGATAGGAAGGTGTGGGCAGGAGGTGCATGTGGCAGTGTCACCTGTCTCCAGAGGCCACTAACACTAGTCCTAGCTGGGCATACTATTGCCTCTCAAACGCGTATTTTCTAAAGTACCCTAAAAACACCTAATTCCATTCATCATTTATAAATTGTAACATTATGAGGTAAAACTATATATTTTAGCTGAACAGTGCTGTCCTGTTTTCATTTATCTGGATATTATGTATATCTTTGTATCAGAGAATACTTACTGGTTTATAAGCATGAAGTGACTGGGTGGTGAAGAAGAAATGAGTTTTATTTTTATTTCAGTGTTAAAACCTTGGACTGATAAAAGAAAACACATTTTGATGGTTTTTTTTTTCAATAAACTTCTTTAGAGTATTTTCATTGATGTTTTTTCTCTTTTAGCTTTCTCGAATGGAATATGTGCATTCAAAGAATCTCATTTACCGAGATGTGAAGCCAGAGAACTTCCTGATTGGCCGACAAGGCAATAAGAAAGAGCATGTTATACACATTATAGATTTTGGACTGGCCAAGGAATACATTGACCCTGAAACCAAAAAACACATACCTTATAGGGAGCACAAAAGTTTAACTGGAACTGCAAGATATATGTCTATCAACACACATCTTGGCAAAGGTGTGTTTATTTTCTGCTTCATGAAAAGGGCGGGTCCCTAAGATAACCTTTTATTCCAATGCTACTTTTGTCCTCATTGTGCATTACGGCTTGTGATTCTTATTGCTTCACAAGGCAAGTGCTTTTTACACTAAAGTGGTAAATTAGTGACTTTCCTAAGTATCTTGTTGACAACCTAGTTTCTCAGTATTGTGAGTACTTGAATTCTTGTATTAAGATGATAGCATTTTAGTAAGTCTAGTGATAAATTTGGTGTTTACAGATGAATGACTCTATATATGACAGTTCTGAAAGGACATTGTGCTGGTTGGTATCTGTATTGGGGAAGAGTGTGTCCCTAAAACATGGACTCTGCTTCTGGTCACTGTGCATAATTCCAGGAATAATGGCTTTGAGAAAAAGCCTATGTCTTATTCACTGAAAATATATGAGTCTTGCCTTTTTTTCAAGATAGGCAATTTATACAAATCTTTGCTAAAAGCTCTAATCAAGGCAGGAAGGCTTACTTGTTAGAGGAACTAGTCCAGAGGAGAATATTTAAAGAGAAGCCTAAGGAAGGCCAAATAGACAAGACCCCCGGCCCCTCACTAGCTTCTCCAGAAAAACTTCCCTTTTTATCTACTTTATATATTGGCCTTCCTTGGAAGATTCTATAGTAGAAAAGGTTCCACAGTGATTTTTTTAAAATGTTTGAAAATCACCACTCTTGAGAGTAAAGTAGACATGTAAGCAGAATAATATTTTCAAGTTCCATACTCCTAGACATAGCTAATTATATTGGGTGTTAAGATATTAATGAATTTTTGTGCACTAATAAGTGTTTTAAATGGCTGCAAGGTTGCCTTATTGAGTAAACTGCCTAGGTATTCAGATGAGGATTCTAGTGTTAGTAAAGAGTGAAAATTATATTACAAAGTGTTATAACTTGAATTGAAATCATGAAGGCTGTCAGGATTTTTTTGGTAACCATATGGAAATCCTCACTTAACTAAATGTAATATTTTAAGATTAGACCAGAAGGTCCTCTGCCACTTACTATCTGTGTCATTTTGGAGAAGTTGCTTAATCTTCCTGAAACTTATCTGTAAAATGAAAGTAGTATTTCATAAGGATGTGTTTTGTGGGTTAAATGGGTAGTATATGTAACACAGATCTCTTGCATAGTGTTCAGTATTCCCTTTTCCTTCCTTTTTACTAAGAGACAGACTGTCGTAAATAGTAAAGGCATGATTTTTTGGTTTAACTGACAGACTGTAGAAGTTGTTCTAATGCCTGCTTCCTAGGTACAGCAATTTGTGTTCTGATTTTATAATTCTTGTCAGGAAAGGCAAGAAGAGACAAGGGATGGGTATCTGTGTTATATTTGTACAAGGTACAAGGTAATGGTTATGAAGAAGGGATGCAAATCGTGGCTCCTGCACTTAAAGCTATGTGATTTTGGTCCAGTAACCTTCTTCTCTTAGCCTCAGTTATCTCATCTATGAAATGAGTTTGATAATAGTACCTTATACTATAGGATTCTGATAATGCATGTAAAGTGTTTAGCATAGTGCATCATAGTAGCAAAGACTCAAAATGGTCGCTATATATTTATTTGATAAAATATGTTTCAAGTACACATGGTCATCAGACTGGGTTCTTTCTCTTGGTGTAGCTGTTGCTGTTGGAACTTTTGAGTTTATCTCCAGGCTTAAACTTCCTGAGTTCCAGAGTTTTCCAGGTCACATTAAACCTGTCACTGTATTTTGTCCTCTCCATATTACAGAGAATACATATTGATGGTTTTCACATGCCCTTTAAACTCTGGTCAGGGTCTCAAAGCAGAGAGGTTTCCATAAGAATTCCAATCATACCGGTTTTTAAATATGTAGTATTCTCTATGTTGTAATGAAGAAGAGAAGTGTGGACAGCCCCCGGTGACTCAGAGGTTTAGTGCCACCTTCAGCCCAGGTGGGATCCTGGAGACCGGGGATCGAGTCCCACATCCGGCTCCCTGCATGGAGCCTGCTTCTCCCTCTGCCTGTGTCTCTGCCTCTCTCTCTATATGTCTCTCATGCATAAATAAGTAAAATCTTTTAAAAAATAAAAAGAAGTGTATCTTCAAGTGCCTTGGAGTGAATTGCCTGTTAATTTTGTGAGGGAGAATAAGGGAAGCAGCCTCCCAAACTTGACATGACTGCATTAGATTAGCTACCTTCTAGCTGATTAAGGTAGCCTATTTTGTATTCTCTAACAGTTGAGGTTAGGATGAGAACAATGGGGCACCTAGCCCCTTTCTTCCAGCAAAGTATATTTGACCTAGAATCAGGGATGTGACATATGTAAACCAAGCATCTTTTTGAATGGCTGAAACCAGGCTTTTATGGTGTGAAGAATTCTAGGTGCTACTGGTCCCACTCATATTAAAACCTTTCTTCTAAAAAAAAAAAAATAAATAAAAACAAAATAAAAAAATCTTCATGAAAAAAATGAGGGCATGTGGAAATACTGAATTACATGAATGTGATGTTTTCAAAGAAGTATGGAAATAAAGCATGACTCTTCACCTTTTTATTGAGGGGTAGAAGGCTTAAATTATAGATTAATTATCAGTGGCTCAAATTATCATAGATTAATTACTTTAGAATTTTAGAACTGGAAAATTACTTTTCAGATTATCTAAATCAACCACTTTATTTCAGATGAGCGGATTGCAGCCCAAAGTACATGACTTGGCTATGCTTAATTTCACATGGATCAATTAATGGAAAGAATCGGCCAGGAGCTAGATAACCTGACTCAGGAGCCATTGATCTTCCTATGATTATAATTTCCACAGCTATTTTTCATAGTGCTCAGTATTTGGAAAACTATTTTATTAGTTATTCCAGGGGGTTTAGGTGTGGATGGTTTTAATTTAAAAGAAAAAAAAAAAACACATTTTATAATGGGCTTTACTATGGAGAGAAGTTGGGCTTTTTTCTCAAATGCTGATCGGCATTGAAAATGTGGAGAGTTTTGCCCTCTAGTGCTCAACTGACAAAAGTGCAACCATTTGTCCAGTGAATTTTTATTATCAAGGGGGCCTCTTGTTACAGGAAGTGGATATAAAAATGGAAAGGCAATGAGTAGGTGTGATACAGTGTGAGAAACTGCAGGGTGTGGGTTCTCTATCTGCCCTGCTTCGTAGGAGGCCTCAACTCACCCTGCTTATACTTTCTTTTTTATTTGTGTGTCTTTAGGTTCTGCTAACAAACTCTTTTCATTTAATGGCTTTTTGTTTTCAATTATATATAAAATTTGTTGCAAATCTCAGGCAAGTGTGTAGACAAAAGCTTCTGTTGGTCTTGCTGTTTTATTTCATTCTTTTTAAGACCATTTCAATTGATGTGCATCCACTCATTTTTGTTATTTCTCTAGTCAGGGTGCCTCCCTTTTCCCAATACTTGACCACCTTGCCAAAAACCGTTTTCAAACTGCAATTTAGAAAGTTGCCTTTTCTTTCCTCCTCTGCCCTGTAGAGTTCTATTCACTCTTTTTCATGCACATTTCCCATAATTGGAGGCAGTCCTTAAACATATTGTACTTTTGTATTTTGAGCTGTGTAGCTTTCCCTGCCTCCCTGCCTCTTCGATTTTTCCTTCCTACACAAAGAAAGCGTGATTGAGTGTAGAGTAGCCCCTTAGTCTTGTCTCTCTAATTTCTCTTGATAAAACCCTAAACTTCATTTGGAGACATAAACACATAAGATGTCTGAGATGAGCCATAAGTGGCAAATAAGGAATAGAGGGGCATGTACTACTTACATTCATTCTGCCAATAATGGTAGTGGATGTTTTCTGAGATGAAATGACATTTTTTATTAAATATTCTTCAGTTCTTTGCCATCTTAGTCTTTCCAGTTAAAAGAAAGAAAAATCTAACAACTGGTTTTACATGATAAGGCCCCAGAATGTGGGGATCCTGTTTTATGTGCCCATAAAGGGCACATCCCGTAATAAATTTTAAATTTTTCTTAGGGTGGCTATGGAACATGGTACAGATGGATTGAAGCTGAGATTCTACATTGATGTTTGTTTATGGCAAACTAAATTTTGTTAATTTTTTTTTAAATTTTTATTTATTTATGATAGGCACACAGTGAGAGAGAGAGAGAGAGGCAGAGAGAAAAGCAGGCTCCATACACCGGGAGCCCGACGTGGGATTCGATCCCGGGTCTCCAGGATCGTGCCCTGGGCCAAAGGCAGGCGCCAAACCGCTGCGCCACCCAGGGATCCCTATTTGTTAATTTTTATGATGAATTAAAAGTACTAGCCATGTGTGCTAGGCATTCTACAGCTTGTGTCTCTGCAGGCCTAGCCAAAATGGACTGTTTATTTTTATTTTATTTTTAAGATTTTATTTATTCATGAGAGACACAGAAAAAGAGAGAGAGGCAGAGACACAGGCAGAGGGAGAAGCAGGCTCCATGCAGGGAGCCCGATGTGGGACTTGATCCTGGGACTCCAGGATCACACCCTGGGCCAAAGGCAGGTGCTAAAACGCTGAGCCACCCAGGGATCCCCGGTGAGCCACCTAGGGATCCCAGAATGGACTGTTTAAAACTTTTAGCTACTTAATCTGCTTCTCACTTTCTGTGATGGTAACCCAAAGGGTAACTGTAGTCCATATATGTGAAAATATATCTTCATATAATTTCTTTTAAATTACCTGACTTTCAGGAAGGTGACAGCAATGACTGAGGGGTGGTTACTCACCATTTAGTGATTTGGATTTGGTTTCAGTTTAGGATTTGCTCTTTTCCCTTGCTATTTACCTGCCAGTGACAGCAAAGGAAGTACATAAAGTTTTTTGGTTTTGATCTAAAATACTATCCCTGGTTTAGCTGCACAAAGAATGAGTAAGCAGAGCCTTTCCAGAGCAGAAGGGTTTCTGAAGGGATTACTCGGTTTTGAACCCCTTTCTGCTTTAATAACTGCGAACATAATGTGTGATCTGTCTTCCCTTTTAGAGCAAAGCCGGCGGGATGATTTGGAAGCCCTAGGCCATATGTTCATGTATTTCCTTCGAGGCAGCCTACCCTGGCAAGGACTCAAGGTATCCTTGAAAGTGTTCAGCAGAGGGCTTTGTTTCAATATGCAGTTGTTAATGGAGGGTTGCTGACTCGATGTCTCTAAGAAGCATAGTCGGGAAGATGGGTTGGCTAGAGATGAGAAGCAGGGACTAGTTACATCAGTCTATTGTAAATGCTCCCCTGGGCTTTGGGAGCTCTGGTTTACCTACATTTGTGATCTTCCCCTTCTGAATCCTTCTTCCTTGTTTTGGGGTTTTCCATAATCTCTTCCCTTGTTCCCTCCCAGCCTTGGCAGTGCTGCTTTTCTCTGTGTCACTTTCCTCCTCCACTACCATTATGTAGCAGGAAGAGTGTTCCCAGTGTGCTAGGGAATTTCTGGAACAAATTGATGACAGCAGCTGCTACACATTTTACCAGCAAGGCCAGCAGGGCTGGGTGTGCCTCTAAGGAGAACTAGAAAATATTTGTTCATCCTCTTAGTCTGTAGGCTAAGGGCCCACCTGAACTAAAACAAAAATGAAGGTTTAATATTATATTTCACATGTTTTATTCAGTAAATGCCCATGTAGACATTAGCCATTCCTTATGAAGCATGTAGTTTAAATAGCCTTCCATAGTTAGGTATCGGTACAGTGCATTTGTGTTCAAGGTAACTATTGATAATAATTATAACCACTGCAATTACTTCATGCCTCTGGCTAGTTAGAGTAGGAAATGGTGAGCCTCTCAGCCATTTTAAGTCCCATTAGATAGTTAAATGTGAGACATATTTTTGAGTTGTAATTTATTTCAACGTGTTAGTATGGAAAAAAACTAAATCAATAGTTTTGGGTACCTCTACACCCCTAACCCCCTCCCTCTCTCCCTACAGAAGGACAGAATGATTCATTTGCTGTGCTTTCTGGTCTGTTGTCCTGAAAAGTAAATCTTTTGCCCCTTCCCTTTAGGAAGATTTTATTTCTTTCCTCTTAAATTCCTCTCCTAACACCTCCTAGTCTTCTCCTAGTCATATCTTCTCATTGGTATTAATAGCTGTCAGATAAGAGTTTCACACTCTCTTTGCTCATCACATAGCCAAACAATGCATCTGTGTATTATTAATTGTTCAAAACTTTCCCATGGTCCACAAATCATTTTAGTGACAGTCGTAGATCTAAAATTCCTCCAACTTACTTTAGAACACTATTCCTTAAAGCTGGGTGCAGCAGGCTAGCGAGAGCCTCATGAGAATCCCTTGAGACCATGTTGGTCCAAGCTCCAGGAGCCTTCTGTCTATAATCCCGAGCAAACCAGACTTGGCTGTTTTGAACCACTGACCTATATCAAACCTGTCTGGTAGCCATGCCTTTTTCATAGATAACACTTTTCCCTCTGGAAGCACACTGTGGAAAGGCATGTTTTTCTACTGCTTATTCTTTTTTTCTGTTCAGCTTCACAGTAAATATTCTGTCGGGCTATCTATCTGTCTGCCCCCGCTTGGATTAGCAGTATTTTTTTTTTATCTTATCATAGAACTGATCTAAGAGGGGGAAGGCTGAATCACTTTTGAACCTTTTGAAAATACTGCCATACGATATTTTTACTTTGTTATCCTAGCCACTCGTCTCATTACATTTGATTGAGTTTATCTGAACTAAATATACTTAGAAGGAAAACTTTCCAGAACAGAGCAGATGTTAAGTACATCATCTCTACTAGGTTTCTCATTTATTAGAAAGAAGACTGAGAATAGCAAATCTTGCGAGTTTGAGTTAAACGACCATCACGTCCCCAAACGTATTAGACCTCCCATACTTGGTACCTCTTTCCAAATAACTTTCTCTCTCTATTCTACAGGCTGATACATTAAAAGAGAGATATCAAAAAATTGGTGACACCAAAAGGAACACTCCCATTGAAGCTCTCTGTGAAAACTTTCCAGGTAGGATGCTAGAAGGACAGTCCAGCCAGTGTGACTGAAGCACTGAAGTAGGTGGAGACCATGACTTGGTATCTCTAGATAAGGGTGCTCTCCAGAAAATCCACATTTCCTTTTATTGTCATTTAGACCAAGACAGGTTTTATCACTTTCACTTGGGCCATAAAGAAAACACCAGATATTCCTGGTTTGGCCCAGAGCTTCTCACCATGGGAGGCATTCAACTCATGAGCATGGCCTTTCACCTCTTTTCTACAGAAGAAATGGCAACCTACCTGCGATATGTCAGGCGATTAGACTTCTTTGAAAAGCCTGACTATGAATATTTACGGACCCTCTTCACAGACCTCTTTGAAAGGAAAGGCTACACGTTTGACTACGCCTACGATTGGGTTGGAAGGCCCATTGTAAGTATCCTGTTTTACCTCCTCGCTTTAAATCAGTGCTACCTCACCACTTGACTTGCCAGACTTTCTGCTTGAGTCTGTAGAAAAAACATTCCTTTGATTGTAGACTTTACATTTGCCAACCTTTTCAGGGTGATTGCCATAGGTTGCAATTACTAGAGTTAGGAAATAAGAGCAACTCCTTTATATGTTTTTAAGATTATGACCAGTATGTCCTAAGATAGCAGAACTTAAGCCAATTCTTAAGAAGAAATTTCATTTGAATGATCCAGAAACTGGTGCTACATAAGCTGATAAGGTACTTGACTTCTACAGAGTAGAACCCAGCCCCATAAGAAACTTTTGAATTGGCTCTTTTGTCCAGGGGTCCACAGTGCCTAAGAGCATGCTAACACATCACTGTAGAATGTTTTTCTTATTTTCCAAGGTAAGCTACTCTCCAGTGAGCTCTTGAGACCAGGCGGCCTCCCTTTTGCAGATAAACAGAAGACAAGAAAAGTGGAAACTGCCCTTGGTGGCTGAAAATAATAATCACTAGTGTTTTATTACGATTAGAATGATGCTCTCCTTTGTGGAGGCATTAAGTTGGCCCATTTTCCATCTGATGTTTTGTTCTGTCTTTCCAGCCTACGCCAGTAGGGTCAGTTCATGTAGATTCTGGTGCGTCTGCAATAACACGAGAAAGCCACACCCACAGGGACCGGCCGTCACAACAACAGCCTCTCCGAAATCAGGTACGTGCTGGGCCTTCGTTATTTCAGACGTTCTTCCTCTTCGTGGATAATACAAACACTGAAAGTCTTCAGCTTCTCTGCTTCAGTGTATACATTGAAATTAAAGACAAAGAACTTGCCATCTCTCAGTGGTGTGTTGCGGCCCTCCAGCATCCCTCAGGGCTTTGTAATGCTGCTGAGATGCGACTGGGTGACCTACATCAAGTATCCAGTCGAGAGAATTTGGGCTTGTCCAAATTTGGGCTGTTGGCTGAAAGAAAAGTCTGCCACAGCCTTGAAAGACCTGCTGAACATACAGGATGAACAGAGTAGCCTATTTTGAGCCTCATCTGCAGTCCAGTGTGTCACTCTTGCCAATGCTGAGGGTTTTGTTGTTGTTGTTTTGTTTGTTTGTTTTTGCTGGTTATGAAGAGTGGGTAAGGGATGCCTGGGTGGCTCAGCAGTTCAGCGCTTGCCTTCGGCCCAGGGCGTGATCCTGGAGACTGGGGATCGAGTCCCTCATAGGGCTCCCTGTATGGAGCCTGCTTCTCCCTCTGCCTATGTCTCTGCCTCTCTGTGTGTGTGTCTCAAATAAATAAATAAACAAATAAAAATATAAATATAATTTTAAAATTTTTATAAGAAAAGAAGAGTGGGTAATTTGGACTTCAGTTGACCTGGGCATAAACTGGCACCTCTCTTCCCCCTTTTGCCCCTGTTCCCAGGTTAATTCTAGAACTTGCCAATATCTGAGATGGTGTAGTGAAGACTCAGCTTTGCTTTAGGCCACTCCAGAGAAGGCCATGTCATCCGTCCTTCAGTGTTCATAGTTTGAAAAACTAGTGGTCAATGTGAGAGGCTTCCCTCAGCCTAAAGACAGGAGAGGCAAACACACAAAAATCAACAAATCTGACAACATTTAAAGAAAGGGGTCACTGATTGGGAAGTAAAATGACGACTTTCATCTTTATATCATATATAATTGACCCTTGAACAACACAGGTTTGAGAGGTGTGGGTCTACTTATATGTGGATTTTTTCAATAAATACAGTACAATACTGTAAATGTATTCTTTCATGATTTTCCTAGTAACATTTTTTTCTAGCTTTATTTTAAGTACAGTATATAGTATGTTAGCCTTATTGTAAGTACAGCATATAGTACATGTAACATACAAAATATGTGTTTATTGAGTGTTTATATTACTGTGTAAGGATTCTGGTCACCAATAGGCTATTAGTAGTAAAATTTGGGGGGAGTCAAAAGTTATATGGGGGTTTTTGACTTCATGGTGGCCAATGCACCTAACCTCAATGTTGTTCAAGAGTCAACTGCACAGGGGATCCCTGGGTGGTTCAGTGGTTTAGCGCCTGCCTTTGGCCCAAGGCGCGATCCTGGAGTCCCGGGATCGAGTCCCGCGTCGGGCTCCTGGCATGGAGCCTGCTTCTCCCTCCTCCTGTGTCTCTGCCTCTCTCTCTCTATGTCTATCATAAATAATAAATAAATAAATATTTAAAAAAAAGTCAACTGCACATTGCTAAGAGAAAACTGAGGACCCTAGTAGATAAATAAACAAAGGATAACAAACAGATACACATGAGCGCACACACACACACACACACACACACACACACAGTCATTATCACCTATCAAATTAGCTTGTCCTCACCCCTGACCTCACTTTTTAATATTCACAGATATTTTTATAATAAAATGCAAAAACATTTATCTCAGATGTACATATGAAACCACATAGCACATAGAAATACATACACATATAGGTAAAGTGAAGTATATATAAATAACAGACTCACCATAAGTATATACTTGTAGCAAAATAGCTTGGTAAGAAAAAAAAGTATAAAGGAAGGAAATCTATGTTTTAGTAGCTAAAAGAGAGAGTAGATAGGCAAAAAGGTGGGGGTTAGCAAATCATGTGGACCACTAATTGGGTCCATAGTTATATGCTTTAATCAAAGTAGTTGGCTAAGAATTATGATTTGACTGACCTCTGATTTGACAACTGAGTACTGTTGACTTCCGCAGTTGTTCTCCTTTGCCCTCCCTTGTTAAAAGTATAGCTGAGTGCACAAACTGCCACTCTCATACATTACTCTGGACTCTGCAAATTGTTACAAATTTTCCAGAAGGTAATTGGATGAAGTTACTGTTCTTTCTGATAGAAAAATCTTAGTATTTTGAATCAATCATAATAAAACAACCCAAGATCTAGATTAAGTTATATGCATAAAATTGTTGCAATGTGATTTGAAACAGATATAGAAACGATCCATCTATCTAATCCTAAAGGAAGTGTTATGGATCCCGTTCAAATCTTTTATCGAATAAACTGGGCTATAATAAAGTGAGTTACAGTGCACTTATTCAGTGGAATATTATGTAGCCATTTAAAATAATATTTGGAAAACTTGTGGCAACTGAAAATTTATGGTTTGTAGAATGAAGAAATCAGAGTGCAAAATTAGAAATACATCTTGTTTCCCCTCAGGGGAAGGGAAAATGAAAAAAATCAGCGAGAGGAGATAATGCCAATTTATTAACAGAAATAGTGTTGCAACTGATAATATTGTGGATAATATTTTTCCAAACTATTCTGTGATGAAGTTATATTCCTTATGATGAAAGGTACATTTAAATGGAAAATATATGGAAAGAAAAAAATAATTTACGTAGTCAGTGAAGTCAGCATATCTGCCCACTCATGTTTTCAGAATATTTCAAACTAAAATAGGTATTTATTTCCTTTGGTTTCGCTTGTCGTTTCTGCCTCAGTGAATTCTTAATCAACGTTGCTGTTTTGAATAGATTTTAAAAGCAGGAGGGAAAAAAAAGTAGGAGGAAGAAGAGATGTTGAAAACCTGGATTGTCAAGGTGGAAAAAGTCAGTCATACCTAGTGTCTGAGTAAAAGTAGTGATTTTCAGTGTACTTTTAAGTGAAGGGTCATTAAACCAGTCTGTGTAATTAGGAAATCTTATCTGCAAAGCAATAATCTGCTTTTTGAAGAATTGAATCTTGAAATTCTGATTTTTTTTTTCTTTTAGGGTTGTTTTTTTTTTTTTTTAGTATCCTATGGCTGCTAAGGGATTGAAAATCCCCACATTAATGCAAATTTTATACCTCCCTCCCAGCAGGATTCTGAATCCTTGCTGGGTAGAATTCTTTCTGCACTGTGCCCTATGGCTAAATGTTTTTCTGATGTCTCTTCTACCTTTACACTGTGTCTTGAGCTGTGGTCTCTACTTTTGTTCCATCTTTAGGGTTGTCTTCTTATGTGTTGGGGGTTTTGTTTTTTATTCCTAAGAAAAATTGCTGTTAAATAGGTCCCTTACATGACTCTAGGAATTGAAATCAGAATGTTCTTTTTTAGACTGATTCTTTTCAATTTTAAAATCAGCAAAAGAAAAAAGTTAAGTTTCTCTTTGAGAGGTTGACATGTATTAACCTCACTTTCAGGGCAGCTAACTTTTTGTCAACAATTTCCATTAAATAAGTCTAGCTGAGGACCTGCTCTGTGCAAGTATGCCCTAGGGGGTACCAAGATAAGTAGGGAATCTTTGTCCTCAACTGACAAGCAGATTTGCCAAGTAGCCAGATAACTATAACACAAGGCAGAACACAGAAACATCCCAAGCTTCAAATTATCATCATCAAAAAAAAAAAAAAAATCATCATCAGAGGTTGGAAGAAGACCTTTCATCTAGTCTGAGCACAACAGTTTCATGAAAGAAGCTGCTTTTGTAGTGCTCTTGGAAGAGTAACGTGGGAATGAAAGGCATTCCAAGCAAAAAGGATAATGAGCAACAGGTTATCTGGTTTATTTTACTAAAATATATGGTATGAATAAAGGAAAAACTAGGAAAATACCTTGGAGCCATTTGATGAAGTGCCTGAATGCTGGGCTGGATGGAAAGTTGATACTTAATTTCAGTAGGGAATAGTTACTAAAGGTTTTTGAACAGAGGGCTGATACGATCAAAGCTTTCCTCTAGAAGTCTTTTGGCATAGAAGGTGATAACAGCCTGGCAGCCGGTATGGAGACACTAAGAAGAACATAGTGCATCTCCTTCAGAGGTAAAGGGACCCTACATGGGCTGTGATCACGAAAATGAAATAGAACTGAGAAATGATATATGGGTGTGATCTACCAGACTTGGGAACCCACATGTATGTCAAGGTTGAAGGAGAAGGAGGAGTCAGAGCTGTTGCTGAGATTTTGAAGCCCCAGTAATTTGGAAGCAGGGTGTTATGATTCCTAGAAATAGGGAAGTTGGAGGAGAGACTTACTTGAAATTTGAATTTAGGCATCTGGAGTTTCAAATACTAGGAGTGTATTCTAGCTGAAGATGGCTAGCAGGGCAGCCCAGGTAGCTCAGCGGTTTAGCGCCGCCTTCAACCCAGGACGTGATCCTGGAGTCCCAGGATCGAGTCCCACGTCAGGCTCCCTGCATGGAGCCTGCTTCTCCCTCTGCCTGTGTCTCTGCCTGTGTGTGTGTGTGTGTGTGTGTGTGTGTGTGTGTGTGTGTGTGTGTGTCTGTCTTATGAATAAATACATAAAATCTTTAAAAAAAAAAAAGATGGCTAGCAGGCAGAGAAGGGCTCTCAAAATAATAATGAATGAATGAATGTGACATATTTGGAAGTCCGAACATGCATTTGACGTTGATGATAATGCCAGAAGAGCTTCCTTATTCTGGGTAAATCTACTCTTCAGTTGTGGTAGGAGAGTGATCCTGGGGATTGGCAGACTCTGTTTAGTCCCATACTTAGAGTAGGAGGAAAAAGAAGAGGAGCTCAGGACTTGGTTTTAGCTTATCCCAGTGCTTTGGCCATGGGACATATAACCTTTGGGGTGGGGCTCAGCTTTCTCAGATGTAAGCCGGCAAGTAAGGGTAGAGATTTTTATTGTTTCATTCACTGTTATCTCCCTAACACCTAAAATAATGTCTGGAAGAGTAAACACTCGATAAGTAATCGCTTGAATGAATGAATCTGTCAAAT